TCCTCGCGCGCTGGCGCTTCGCGGACGCTTCCGCCTCCTGCCTGTGCCATTTCCTCATGAACCATGCCGCCCCGTCCTCGACCTTGTTGTACCACACCACCGAATCCTTGGCGCTCTCTTTCCATTTACCCCCTTCCTTTTCGTTTCCCATGTTGAAGGCCACGAGGTCCTCTCCTAGACGAGACACCCAGTCGCTCTCCTGCCCGCCCCGGTATCCCACGCCCCCCGCCATCGCTCCTAACAGCATGCGCTTGGGGAGGCGGCTGTCCTCCATGCGCATAACAAAGCCCGCGAAACACAGTCTCCGTTTGCGCACGGTGGCCTCGATGGTTTCCTCGCAGCCTGCCTGGATGAGGGCCTGGGCATAGGACAGGGGGCGGTCTGAGCGTTTCCGCTTGCTCCAGCCGATGCACCGTGTAAGGACCTGGCGGTGGGTCCCATTGAGCTTCGTGTAGTGCTCCGCTGTTAGGCTCCACGAGGCGCACCCATACAGGAGAGTCTCCACCACTTCAGCCTGGAGAAGCCGGATCTTGAGCTGGCGGTTGGCCCGTCGCCTGTCGTACATCGAAGTACTGTTCCGGCGGTAGCACTTCCACGCTCGGCAGCTGCGGCTCGTGATCTCCCGGTCGGCCTTCCCGTCCGCGGAGATGGTACGTCCGAGGTACACAAACCGATCTGTCTGCTTGTACGTCTGGCCGGCGGCGCTGACCGTGAACGGGCGTTCCTCGATCCCTTTCGGCAGCATGCACATGATCTCCGTCTTTGGCTCCGATACCATCAGTCCGAACAGGCCGGCCACGCGCACGATGACCGACATCATCTTCTCGAGACTCTCCAGCGAGCGCGAGACGATGGCCGCGTCGTCAGCGTAGAGCATGGCCCACAAGGCCTCCGCGTCCGTCACCACCGTCGTCTTCCTCCCGGCCGACCTGCCCTTCTTGCCCGTGTACTCCACTTGTGTCCCGATCTTGACCATGTCCGCCGTCACCTTGGGGTCCTTGTCGAACTCGGCCACGGCGACCATGAGCATCGCGGCAAAGAACAAGTTGAACAGCAGCGGGGCCAGGTTGCATCCCTGTCGGAGGCCTTGGCCCACGTCGAACCATTCCGAGTACTGCCCGTCGCCCGGTCGGACGCGCGCCCTCATGCCCTCGTGGAAGTGGCGAATGACCGCCAGCATCTTCGGGGGCACGCGGAAGCGTCCGAGCACGTCCCACAGTAGGTCTCGGTCCACCGAATCGTGTGCCTTGGTGAGGTCGACGAAGCATGCGAACACCGCAGTACTCTTCTTTCTCGCGAGCTCATGGAGCCGCTGGATGGCGAACAGCATATCGAGCGTCGACCGGTGTGGACGGAAGCCGCTCTGCTCCTCCGGGAGGATGCCCTCTCGCTCGCAGTAGTGGCTCAGTCGTGTAGCGACGACCTTAAGCAGCACCTTGCCGGCTTGTGCGACGAGAGCGGGTGTAGACACTTGAATGCGAGAACCGTCCGGAATCTCCATGCCTTGAAGCTCATCGTCCGAGTCCAAGCTGTCGTCTTCGTCCACAAGGCTCAGCTCGTCGATCTGGCCGCTAGCCGTGTCTACAACGAGGACAACGAGAGGCATTGCAAACCATAGCGTATTAAAAACACTTGATTGCCATCATCGATGGAACTTACCCGTGGATTCACCGGCAACAGCAACAGCAACAGCAACAGCAAGAGAACGAACAAGAGCGAAGGCGATAACCACAATAACAGGGGCAGGGGAGTTCAAGACTCGGTGCAACTCCACCATACCGTCGTTGACTTCGTCGCTAGAATCGCCGTCCTCCATGCCCTCCCCGTCGTGGTCCCCCTCGCCCCCTCCCCTCTGTGGTCATCCTCCCCCTCGAACCCTTCGTTGCAAGTCTCCGAACCCCCCTCGTCCTCGCTGGAGTCTTCCTCGCCCATGAAAGTGTAAGGCGGGTCCAAACCCTCACGCTTCCTCCGAGAGACGTCATTGTTTTTCAACCCCCGCGTCAACTCGATGGCCTCCCAGTGTTCCTTCGTGAGGCTGTTGCCGGCTTTGGAATGTTCTTTGATGGTGTCGAACTGTCAATCAAGAATGTCACCCCTTCCAGTGTCTCAAGTGATGGATGCATGGTTCTCCTGCATGCACTTAGCATGCACACATGTCGTGACGCACACACTTTGCAAGCACACCAGAGGGGGTATGCCATGTAAATCCAGCACAGAGTACCCCCGCCGTCGTCAGAGCTGATTTTGGAAAACATCCTTCCCTCCTCCTCCCCCCCCCCCCCCCCCCCCCCCCCCCCCCCCCCCNCCCCCCCCCCCCCCCCCTCCCACGGTGTTTGCCGTCGGGGTTGGGTTTTCGAAGCTTGACAACGACGTCGAAAAACAAGCCGCCCCCTAGGTGTTGGCCGTTGGGGTAGGTTTTCTTCGCTGGCAGCGATGTTGTAAAACAAGTCGATCACTTCGTGAGCTCTGCTACCAGGTTACCGCTTGTTTTACCCTTTGTTTTCTTTTTTTGCCATAACCATGAATGGTGGTCGAGTAGATTATGTTGTGCGGGGTCGAGAACCGGGCTCATGAACCCTCACTCCGCG